CTCGGGGCGGGCGGGGGGAAGGCCCAGCGACCCTTCCAGGCCCACGTTTTTCTCGTGGTAAATTAACAGCAAGTTTCACTGACATTTGGCGAGGTCTGGGCTTCCAGAAATAGCGGCTGAGTTAAGGGCAGCCCGCTAAGCAACGTACAGAAGTGTTCTGTGCTCACACTGTGGTTAGAAATTCTGAGCGGTCACCTCTCCTAACGCTCTCCAGTCATTACTGGGCTTGGTTTGCCACTGGCTTTTGTACCCGTGCTCTCCTGTGATTTAAATACCTGATAGCAGACCTGGCTGCAGACATCCCTAATGGAGTCGCAGTGAGATGTACAAGGGCACCTGTTCAAGCCCCGTTCTGCCTAACAGAGGATGGAGAGAAGTCAGGTAGCAGTGATCTTTGCTGTGTGAATTTACAGCTTTAAATCATTTTCCTCTACAAGCCAGGGCATAACTTCCATTTAAACAAAAAATTGGTTTTTCTTCCCTTTGTAGTGTAAGTTATTGCAGCATTTCAGACAAGTAGTTTTAAAGAAACAAAAAAAAAAAAGTCACCTTAATTTAGAAAGGGTGACATTTATTTCATTTATTTTCCTGCTCCCAGTTAATCTGAAGGTCAGTTTAAGGGACTGTTTTGCTACAAAGATACTAGATTTGGGGTGTCACTGTTTTGTAAACACTAGATTTGGGGTGTCACTGTTTTGTAAACATTGATCCTTGCTTTCACTCGAAAACAGTCCCATACCTGCAAAGAAACGTTGGAAGTCTGAGACTAGATTTGGGGTGAAACATTTTTTGAGAGATTGATCCTTGCTTTCACTCGAAAACAGTCCCATACCTGCAAAGAAACGTTGGAAGTCTGAGGCTTGAAATCTGATCGGAAAGAATTCTGCAGAAGACTTGAGGGGGAGAAGAGCATTTCTTAAAAAAATGTAAACTGAAATTATCAGTCGTATAGTGTCTCTCTGTACTTGTATTGCTGCATCCTTCCCACTTGGCCACCATCTCTCTGATGGTTTGGGGTATTTTTTACATCTTCACTAACTATTTTCTACAGCTGTGAGTTGTCCTAAGAAAAGGAGGGACTAACAATGCAGTCCTCACCCGGATAATTAAGATTCTCTATATTCTTCTCAACAGCATTTCCCCAATTTATTGCGGCTGTATGTCAATGTCCTTGACATCACAAGTGTATTCAGATCACCTTGTGTCTCCAGCATACCTTATCCTTTGTCTCAGAATTCATATTACTATGAAAATAGTACCTGTCAGAATAATTTTTAGTATTTTAAATTCAAGGTTAATCCCTTTTGATCAGAATAGTAAATGTATTTCATGCCTTTTAATTGGACATTTTATTTGAAACACAACTATCTTTAAGTTACAGTTTGTGTAGGAGTTGTAATTTAATAAATACACACTGCATTTTTAGGCTTTTGTCTCTAAATGTGTAGTAGCATGTATTTTTTGTGGACTTGAATTCCAAGTACTTCTTGGCTAAAAAGTAACAATAAGAATTTGAACCATCATATGCCTCTGGCTCACAACAGCTACTCGTAACCAACAAGTAGTGAAGGTTCCTGAAATCCTGAACAGCTTCTCCTTCAGTCTAACCGACGTTCTGCCGCGAGCTGGTAGTACACACATGGTTTGTTCAATATGCCCGGATAAGGTTTGTGTGGCCTTGATTATCAGTGATTCAGAGGGCTCATGCATAAGCACAAATTGGTCAAATTATTTACTTTCCATGTGTACTGAAACCTACGTTTCTTCATCATCCTGAAACTTCTGCCAGTGGTGAACTTTTTAAAGTGGAGAGAAAGTTTCATTTTGCAACTGTGGTTGCTTTTCAAGCAAAAGGAGGAACAGTTGACCTTGCACACCAGCTAGCTAATGAACAGCTTTGTTTGAACACGTGCTTTGTATTCTGACTTTCAATTGAATGTCCTTTGTATTTCAGTCTCCAAGCCAGCACCTTACTGGGAAGGGACAGCAGTCATTAATGGAGAGTTTAAAGAGCTGAAATTAACAGATTATGAAGGAAAATATCTTGTCTTCTTCTTCTATCCTCTTGACTTGTAAGTAAGACCACTGTAGACACATCAAGACTGAGTGCAGCTACACTAGACTCGTAACTTATTAATTTTTCTCTTTTTTTGAGGTCTTGGGGGTTTTTTTTGTAAGGGCTTGGGGGAGAAGAAAGGAGAGTCAAAAGAAAATACATTCTTTGTATGTGTGTTTTCATCATGCATTGGTAAAACTAACACAGTCTTCATCCCAGTAAGCGTGTCCACTGATTTGTGTCTCCACACAAAACAATAACTTTCAGTCTGTAATACCCAGTCAGGCAATGTTTACATCCCATCTATATTTTCTAGATTGTATGTGGTGTATCTAAGAGATGGCCTTTTCCATTTAAGCTCATCCTATAACATCCTAAGAACACTTAACATTGCTCTCCTTTATTTGGAATGCATTAATGTCATTGATTGAGTGAAAACACCTCAGCTTTCTACCAGAAAATCCCATTCTTTTCCACAAAATGAAGAAAAGAGGACAGAGATGGTGTAACTACCTTAATGTTATAAAGGAAATAACATGGTTCTTCGCTCTTAGCTTCAAGACCCTAGAAATTGTGATCTATTTACCATTTTATTTCTTCTGTAGTGGAAAAAGTTCACGTCAAAATAATTAAAATTTGCATACATGCACAGTTATTACTGTGTATTTATTTACTGTATGCAAATTTTTCCTCTAAAAAAATGCCGTATTGTGCTTAAATTCAGCCACTTACTTTCTTTTAGACTTTACGAATATTAATTCTAAACATACTTGTATCCAGATTGTAATCTAACTGTACGTTTATAATCTTCTTCAGTAATAAACTGTTTGTAACTAAGCTAGAGTCTGAGGCTGGAAGATTTGTCACACAGCATTTTGGTTAAATACTTGAAGAAGCAATAAAAAAATAAGTAAAAGCTGAAATCATTTATGATAAAGCCACAATTTTAAGTCAAACAGGGAACATACTGGATGTTTCATGAAATTTTGACTTTATGTCTTGTCTTAAATTATCTAGTACATTTGTATGTCCAACTGAGATAATCGCCTTCAGTGACAGAATTGAAGAATTCAGAGCAATAAATACCGAAGTAGTAGCATGTTCTGTGGACTCAAAGTTCACTCACTTAGCATGGTATGTATCTTATCCTTGTCTTTCACTAAAAATTATTAATGGGTCCATCTTAGCTGAAGAACTGTATCCCCAGATTTGTAGCCTATGGAGGTATATCATAATGTGTAAAAGTGTGATGCTATTGATCCAGATCTTTAAAATATTTTTCAGTGGTGAAAATTTTTAACCCTAGTTCATGAAAGTACCTTTATCTTTGAAGCTTGTTTAATATGTATTGCTTGAAACGTATCATGTCTCAGTCTAAAAAAAAACACCTCAAATAAAAAAAAAAAAAAGATAAGGATGCAGATCTGTGTAAATGCATCACACTGTCCCAGTTCGTGAGTGCATTGGTATAAGGCCAATAAGACTGATAAGAAAGAGGTCATTACTAATAGACGTGGCCAAAACATGAACCATTACTGAACATCTTGCTCCAGCTATAAATAGTATTCATTTCCCTTGTGTGCAGAACAAAAAAAAGTCACTTGCACTAAATCCTTCTGTCTGTGCTGTTCTGGTTTGTGATATTTAACTTTGTGT